AAAATGTTTGCTGATAGCTGTATAGCGAGACAATTTTTTTGTAGTGCCACAAAGTGAGCCTATTTGGGCTCCTTTGGATTGGCACTATACTTCAAAGGGATTCTTATAAATGAGCTGAAGAATGTTGATTGCTACACTGTACTCTTTGATGAGACGTTAAATCAGTCTATACAATCTAAGATGGACATTATGGTAAGGAATTGATAATAAAGTTTGCACTAAGTATCTTACCTCCCAATTTATGGGTCATGGAACTGCAGAAAATATTTTGTCCTCTTTTTACAAATGCATGGATGATGGTTAAAAGCTCTCTAAATTACATCAATTATCCATGGCTGGACCCTATGTCTATTGGAAATTCTATTAGAAGCTTCAGTGTGAATTAAGAGAGAAATATTCCCACCAGGTCATATTCATTGGTCATATTCAATAATTAGTTTAATCATTTAAGGTTAATTAATTTAGTTTCGACACAGCATGTCCTTTTTTAAAACTTGTGCCATTTAACCTTACATTTAACTTTAAATAATTAGTTTAAATGCTTTCAAGTTTTAATTGGGCTATATTTTTCTGTTTAGCATCAAAAGATTGGCTTCCTGTTGGAAAAGATTTGGCAGTTATGTGTACAGATTGTCGAAATTATTACAAAAAGCATGGGGAATTTCCTGCCATTGATTCAAAAGACTTCTTTTTCCAACCTGTAAAAGAAGAGGAAGGTGTAAATGGAAAGCATGTTATGAGGACTCGTCGTTGCAAAGAAGTAATTTTGCTCATATTTGTTTCTGATGAATCAAAAGATTTTATTTAATATTTGCTAGTAATAATTTTTCTTTGAGGACTAATGACATAATAATATGGTTGATATTTTGATTTAAACTTATGTGACTTAATGTATCTCATATAAATTTATACCTGTATCTTCTTTTTTTTTAAAAAAAATGTATGTTTTTGCAACTAATAAACTTTTAAAGCTATAAATTTATTTAATTACTTTAAAAACATAATAAATTAAATTATTTTTAATTGTATTTTTAAAGCTGCACTTTTGTATAATTACTTTGAAAATGATACTAGACTCTAATTAACATATATTTTTATAAAAAAATTATTTTCATTCTGTAGAGTTTGATTTTTTAAGAATAAATTAGATTTTTAAGAAAAATATTGTTTCAAATATTTCGAGAAATAAATGTTGCCTAATTATAAAAATTCTTAACAAACCAAATGAAGTAAAGACAATCACTTTGTGAAAAAAAAAATTAAGAACTGAAAAAGATAAATTTTTTTTATTTTTACTTCATACACTTTCCCATTTAATCAGGGCCTAATCTATAATTTTTATCTTGCTTTGTACTTTTCTAAAAAAAAGTTTATCAGCTCTCTAGTTTTGAGAATAATTTGAGCACTCTTAAGTTTTTGTGAAGGAAAGAAAAATTGCAATTTCATCTTAAATGAGATGCACTCTATTTTTTAAAAAAAGGTGGATAAAAATTTTAGCATTTTGAGAACCACACTTGATTTAGTTTTTATGTTACAGGATGATAACTTAGCTATTCCTTAATGTTATACAACAGACCTTTACTACACAAACTTTGAATCTTGAGGCTTTGTGTTATGTAGATCATTTCACATATCATTAAACTTATCTATTAAACATGGGTGTATGCAATGGAACAGATCAATATTGATGCTTTAAACTAATTTTTAAATTCAAATAGTTTAAAACACAAAATTATGTGTACTAAAGTATTCGTTATTTACAACAACAAAAAAAAACTGAATTAAAAGTGAAAGTTGACGAATTTATAAATTTTTGGTTTGCTTTAGAATTAAAATTCATGAGATTTATAGAATTGCCTTGTATAGGTCTTCTATTGTAGTACAATATTATTTTGTCTCAAAAATTAAACGGAGAAATACTGCAAATTAAATACTTAGATGTCAGCTTGTACTGTCATTGAGGAAAAAAATTTCTTAGTGGTAGCAGGACTGATTGTGCTCCGGAAAAATTCTGGATTTTTCGCTAACAGTGATCCGGAAGCTTCCGGAGATATAAGGTCCAGACGTTTAAAAAAATCCTTGATCACAGAAGTTTCCGGAAACAAAATTTTCAAAGGTGGAACTTAAAAATACAGTTTATTTTATTTGTTTCTAAGGGAGAACTGGATACTTTATAAGCTTATATTCATGATTATTATTAATTTTTTATCAGTAAACAGTTATTATAATCATAAACTCAAGAAAGACATATTTGTAAATTTTAATTACTTCTCCAGGTCATCATAGGTATGTGTAAATGGTATAGGTATATGTAAAATTTTAAATATATTTTAAGTAAACTAAGAAATGTTGAGAAAAAGAAAAAAAAACCTTGTTTAAATTTTTTTTCAATTTAAACTGTTTTTTTTTTTTTTTTTTTAACTCTAGAAATTTTTTGGAATTTTGACTTGGGCTCACAATCATGTTAGTTACATTTATATTTTAACATATAAATCTTAATTTTAAAAGTTAAATCTTAAATTGTACAAACTTACCATGACAAATTATTAGTTTAAATATATCATATATATTTAGCCAACTAATTTTGCTTTTTAATTAAATTTAGGTAAAGCAGTTTAAATTTTAGAAAATTTTTATTATTTCTAATGTTAGTATGCTACTGTTTTTTAAAAATTTCCTGTACAACAGCATTGACAATTATTTATATATAATATTTATAAAGTAATATTTTGAAGATCATTTGATGTTTTATGCAAATTGTCTTCTTTTTTAATAAATAAATTTCAACAATTTCTAATTTTATTTGTATAAACATAAATTTATTTAAACATCTTTAATTTGTATATAAATCTTTAAACTAGTTCCATTTGAACATATTTTGGTTACAGAGTTTTCTTTAAAAAAAAATAATAATAACAATCGCTATAATAAAAAATTTAAATCTTTGACACAGCTTGAATTAGAATGTCTACATTTTGAAATTTTAATCTTATAATTTCAGTATTCAAAATTAATTTGAAAAATAGTCTTAAATGTCTTACTCTTTTTATGTTGGTTTTTCCAATTAATGTTTGGTTGTCAGAGGAGTTAGCACTGATAGATCATTCAAAGGCTGCATTTACTCCCCTCCCTCAAGCTATTTTTTATACACACCTAAAGTATTAAGTTTTAGCAGAGACTTTTTGTGCTGAGTTTTCATTATTTTTGCGATAACGGCTTAATAATTGTGAAATTGACCTGTATTAATTCCAATGTGCTAATTACATTTTTTTGAATTTAGAATCAAAGTCCAAAGACAGTCCTTAATGAGGGTGGTACAATAATCAAAACAGAAAGAAAGTCTCCTGGTGTTGCCAGCACTGGTACTGCAGGCTCTCAAGATAGAGATAAGAAAAAAGTAAGTATTTTTTTTTCCAAATAAAGTGCTAATAAACTGCTATATACAGTACAAAGTCCGTTATCTGGACGTCCATTTGCAGGAAATATCTCTTTTCCAGACACTTTTTAAGAGTCAAAATCTTGACAAACCAGTCCAGATTTTGACTGTTCTAGGGATGAGCGGATTTCCGCTTTTTTTACTTTTGTGTCTCGAATATCCGAACTTTTGTGTATCGAATATTTATCAAAAACTCCGATTATCTAAAAGTTTCACTTTTTTTTAAAAAAAATTTTAAATAAATATTTTGCTTTTTCAAAAATTTAGCTGTTGAATTAAGAGAATTTTCTATCAACAATTATTAGTATATATAGGCATATTTAAAACTTACATTCTGTGCTTGCAAAGAAGAATGTGACAAAGGCAGGTAAAGAAAGAAAATATGGGATTTGTGAAAAGATGTTTGAAGATGGGCTAATGACTGAATTAATCACCAATCTGTTTCCCCTCATTCACAAGCTGCATTACGAGAAATTTGACCTTGTTAAAGGATTTTTTGCTTGTTTTGTAAAACATGAAGTGCTTGCAGCAAATTAAGCAACAAAAAAAAATATATAGCAAACAAAAGCAATCACTTAAAAAATTATTCAATTTTTTGTGGAAAAAGAGTTGATTAACTCATCACCGAAATTTAAGAAATAATAATGCTGCTGTTATTTATGATATAAAATGTGAAATTCTTATCATATGAAAAATAATTATCTAAACAGTTGCTGATTATCATGTAATTTTTTCAAACTAAAATAGCAATTTTTGTTATTTGTTATCATAAATTGTCAGGAATTTATTATTAAACGACTGCACATGCGTAAAATTTGCTCACATGGAAATTCAGCTTTTTTACCTTTTGGCCAATCTCATCCTTGCTGTTTAAAAGTCTTTTCTCTTTTTTGAAAAGGGGAAAGTCCTGTCTTTTCCCTTTTCAAGATTTTTTTTTTACTTTGCAGCCTGTTAAAACATAGTATGCATGGATGAGAATCCTCCACTTCTTTGATTTTTAGCCAATTTTTGTTCAATTTTAATCTGATTTCCGCTATAATATTTTCTTTTTAAAAATTGAATACCACAGGAACGAAAGTCGTCATTTCACTACAACATGAAAAAAATCATGTAATTTTTTTCCCTCACATAAAAAGATTATTACCTCCAAAAATCATCACTGTGGAATCGTCGCTAATCGGCGGATCAAGAAATTATTACTAACTGAAGTGCATGATTCGGAATTCGCAGTGTGCTATAATGACATGTTAAAACATTAGGATTTTAAAAATCGTGTGGAAATTTGTAACAAAAGCTGGTACAATAGTGCAACCACGCAAACCACATGGATTTATAGGTTGATTGAAATTTACGTAAGTTATTGTTATTCTTTATTGAATATAGATGTTTTGTTTGTTTACCTTAAAGACCTATTATCTAGAAACATCTATTTTCCATGCTTGCCAAAGTCCCAATGATTCCGGATACAAGACTTTCCACTGTAGTTCTATTATAACATACCGTTCCAAAAACTGTCCCAATTTATTTATAAACTGTGATCCTGTTTTTTTTTTTTTTTTTCACTTTATACTTACTAGAAGACTTGAATATTTTAGCATTAGTTCATAAATTTAAAAGATTGAAGTATTATATTTTTTATTTAGAAACAAATCAGTGATACTACTTCTAAAAGTAAAAAAAGGATTAAGGAAGAAAAAAGTAGTAACTCAGAGGATGTAAGTGATGGAAAATCTGAGAGTCATAAAAAGAAAAGTAGACCGAATAGCCCGTCTGAATCTGTATGTACAGAAAGTAGCGTGTCTAATGAAGAAGTACCTCAAGATGGTGAAGCTCCCAGTTCACCTAGTCCTGGTGCAAGTCCAGTACCGAGTCCTCTTCCCATTCTCCCTGAAGTCGAAACACAGCCCGACCAGGAGCCTGAATTGTATGTGCATTCAATATATTTTGATTTTTATGCATATTAATCTATTTATATATTAAATGTATATTATAATTTCTTATTTAGGCCAATGGAAAGTTCTTCGATTTCAAACGATATGGAACAACCTGTTACAGTAAAAGAAGAATATATCCCTCCAGTAACTCCAGAACCCTTGTTATGCCCGGTTGAAGTAAAGCAAGAAGTTATTGCAAATGAATCAGATGAAGCAATGGATACTCAAGATTCAATGAACCCTCCTGAGCAGCTTGAACTTATGGAAAAAATTAAAGAGGAAAACCCAGTTCATTCATATACACCTTCACCAGCAGCATCACCTGTTCCTTTTGTTCCTCCTATAGATGAGCCTATGCCCGTATCAGATACAAATTCTGCAGCTCCTGAAATTTCGGAACCCAATCGATATGCCTCTCCTACTGAAGAACAGCAAACATCTGATGAACCTGTCATTCAAAATCAACCACATTATCCTGGACCTTCTCCTCAAGGCATTAAAATGGAACCTGTTGATATAACTGCCACTCCCCCTCCTCCTGCAATTCATGAACCTCCAGTCCACCATCCTCATGTATATGCTCAGTCCTCTTCAACTGCTTTTTCAAATAGTATATCCATTGCCATGGCTAATAGTTCTGTATCCGGTTCAATATCTGCATCATCCTCTATATCTCTATCATATCATAATCATTCCAAAATGCCTTATCCCGGACATTCTACTCTCATTACTACCTCACAATCATCAATGTCTGCTTTTAATTATCGACCCTTTTCTCCTCAATACCCATATCCTCCTGCCTTGCCTCCATTTCCTCATATGCCAGCTCAACCAATAAAACATAAGTACAATACCAGTACCTCGTCACCTTCTCCGAGTACTCCTCCTCCAACATCTTCCCCTTATAATGCAGCATCTCTTGCTGCTTCCCAGCAATATCGTGAATCCACTCCACCTACAAAACCTCATAGCAATGGATCAACACCACCAAGCTATCCACGTAGTTCACAGATGTCAAGTTCATTACAATCACCTGCTGTAACATCTCATTCATCAGTGCCTACAATGCCTAGTTCACATGGCTCTTCAAAATCACCATCATATGGAATGCAAAGTCAAAACAGCCAGAGCTCATCAAGTCAAAAAGCTGTGCCTCAGCCTGCCCACCAGAGTTCTATGTATTCTCAAATGGGAATAAATCAACAATCATCTATGAAATCTAGCAGTCATTCTCATCAGTTACCAAGACCTCATCCTCTTTCTCAACATTCTCAATCTGGGCTACCTACTTCATCACAGCATTTGCCTCCCACAGCTTATGTGGCAAATTTACCTCCACAAGTTGGAGCTCAAAATCAGATGCACATGGCACCCGAAAGAACAATAGAATCTGAAAAATGTTCTGTCATTCAAGAACCTGTGACTATTGAAGAAGAGGAAGAGGTTGAACCTCATTATCCTTATAGAGGTCCTAGTCCTGAACCAAGAGTTGAAGATGTTGAATGTCACAGGAGTCAATTTGCCATGTAAGTCTTTTTAACTTTCAATTACAAGCTGCATTCAAATTATTGTGACATTTTTGTGCAACGTAACTTCTCACCATATTTGTTCTAATTCCTCATTCAAAATTTTTATCGTTAAAAAAAAAAAAAAAATTTAATAAAATATAAATTTTAATAACATTTTCTGAACCTTCCCCTTTAATTCATAAATGCATCCAATATATAAAAAAAATAAGAAAAATTTATTTACTTGTGAGTTTTTTTTTCTAAATTTACATAGTTTTTCAATTGTTTTTATGACTAATTAATCATTTTTTGGCAGTTTCCCAGTGATTTCTCAAATTCTGTATTTTAATTATTACTTTCACATCATTTGATGATAGTTTTTCGAGAGTTATTTATCATTTTCTCAGCTTCTATTTATCCTTTTTTCAGAAGTTATTCATGGGTTTTCAAATTCCAATAATTTTAATGTGATGTTATTAGAACGTGAGAATTTTGATTTTGTGTTATCACCTTTTGATGCATTTCATTCATGGTGATTTCATCGCAAATTGCAATGTTTAGTTTAATTTCATAAATTTCGGGAAATTTTTTATTTTTTTTATTTTTTAGTGCCCCTTTTTCATGAGTTTTCGAATTCTAATAACTTTAATATTGTGTTATGATGTTTGAATTATCACTTTTTCACCTGTTCAATTTGTGACAATTCCAATTTAATTCAATTCCTTAAATGATAGTTTTTTCCGCCCTTTTCACATGGTTTCTCAAATTCCAATATTTTCATTCAGCAACTTCCTGTTGCTGAATGATAGTGTTTCAGCTGTTGTTCATCATTTTTCTGGCATTTATTATATGGGTTTTTAAACTACATTTTTTTAATAGATTATTCCAACAGATTAATTTTAAATTTGAGTTATTACTGTAAGAGGCACTCAATTTACATAGTAAGTCATTTTGACAACTCTTTTAAAATCCTGATATTAATATGTTATTGTTACTCAAAATTTTCAAAGTTCAAGATTTTTGCTCATTTTAAAAATAGACTCGCGAATTTAATTGAGGAATAATTTAAAGTTAATTTATTTCTTAATTTTGTAATATTTTTTTTCATGATAGGACTATTTTTTGAGTTGATCTTGAGTTTGTATATTCTGAGACTAAAAAAAAAGTTGTACAAATGTTTGCAATCCCTTTTTGATGGAATATATCACGCTTTTTATTTTCTAACATTTGTCCTTTTTAAGATCTAGAATAAATTCTGATAAATGTACTTTCTAAATTTCAGTTTTTTGAGGCATTGGAATAGAGGTGAATTCAATTCTTGTGCAAGAACAGATCTCACTTTCAAACCGGTACCTGATTCTAAGCTTGCTCGAACGAGAGAAGCTAAAGCCAGAAAAGCAGCAGAAAAAGAAAGAGAAGAGACAAAAGCTGTAAGATTTTTTTTTCTTTAAATTTTCAAATAATTGTGAATAACTTCCTAGATGGAAGATAAAGTTTTTGATTTTATTCAATGACATATTCAGAGTTGATTTATTAAAATTTATTTGGTAAACTAAGATTTTTTTTAAATTGATTTTTTTTTCATTATTTTTTATCCATCTAAATGGTTATTATATTATCAAAATAGATTTCAGCCGGATACTAAATGTTAATAAATGATATCCAAGTACTATCAATGATAAATATATTTTACTTTCTTATAATAATTCTGATAAATATATTCTCTTATATAATTATTGAAGAATTATATACTTGCCATTAAGAACCATATACCATGAATATAAACTATTTTAATTTGATTTTACTAAGGTAAATTTTTTTATTGGGGTATAATCTTCATAAGTGAATAATTTATTTAAATCTTATGTAAGGCATAGTTTGTTATTACCCAAATTAGCATATCTTTGATTTTCTTATAAAAAAAATGTTTTCACATTAACTTTCTTTGAACTGAGGAAGCATTTAATTCCTTTTCATATAAAGTTATTAGACGCACACTTTTTTTTCATTGAATTTAAATATAATACATATAGTTTCCAACATTTGGATGTCACTGTTAAAAAAATTTTCACCTTCCTACTTTCAACTTTCTTAAACCCATTTCTTCATATTTTTACCAATAGACTCATACCATGATTTGACATTAACTTGTTTTCTTTATGTAGGTGAACTGTACTGTAAAATGTTGTCTCAAAATACTTACTACTTGATTGAATTTATATCAGGTATAATATCTCTAATTCATTCCGTGTTTATTTTTCATAGCGACTGGGTTCTACACCTGATAATAAATCAGGATCTAGCTCTCAGGCAGATGGCCATCATCTCAGTCCTTTTGACAGACAATCTTCTAGAAGTGGGCCAGATACGCCTGCTCTCAGACAGCTTAGTGAGTATGCCCGCCCTCACGCTTCTGCCTTTCCACCTGGATATGCTCGCCCAGGTCAACCCATAGGTGTTTTGCCTCATGGAATTGACCCCATATTACACTATCAATTATCTTCTGGAATGTATGGAGCTGCAGCTAGGGAAAGGTAAGTGCATGAAATGCAATTCACTTTATATATTTACAGTTTAATAGCTCTTCATTAAATTTCTCAAGTTGTTTGGAAATCTCGTGTTTCATTGATTTCTTGAGTATCATTAGCACTGTTTTAAAGTCTCTTATAAAAGTATAATTCATGAACTACTTGAAAAAAATGTATATATTTATAGGTATTTTATATGTACTTTGACTGTCTAAAACATGCATTCATCTTTATGCACCATTACTTTTCAAAGATTAGGCACTTATCATTTTTTTTTATTTCTTTATTTTTAAACACCTTGTATGTTCTAATTATTAGTAAGGATGAATTATTACTTTTTTTTTTTTTTAATTTTCTTGTATTCTATGATTTAGCTACAATAAAATCCTGATGATTCAAGCTTATCTAACTCGAAATATTCAGATTTTTGAACATGTTCCCATGGAGAGCATAGTTTTAGCAAAGTGTAATTATTTGTGCTTTAGAGTGATACAGTGTGAAAGCAGGATTAAAAAATAAATCATTACTTATGCAAATCACTGTATCAATTCGGTTTAGAACTTTTACTTGATTTCACCCTTGTTTTGCAATTATGCCTGTAAACAGTCAAAAATTAATGATAGTCTGTTTCAGCATAAACAACATTTTGTTTGCTTTATGCTTCAGTCAAACAGCTTAATTTGCACCTAATCTGAGTATCATTAGTTCATTTATAGATGAACTAGTTACTTTAGTGAATGTCTGTTAAATATAGGAAGTTCATAATTTATGATAGTCTGGCTTGGTCAATTATTTAATGTATTAACTAAGTAAAATTTGAAACAACTCAATTATACATTAATGGTAACATAAACATTTACATTTCTTATTAACTTTTTTTTTTAATCTAGTTGAATTGTATTAAATACTTTGAAATTTTATATTGCACCCTTAACATCATTTTTACATTTCGATTTAAGTACTATTTTGTACCAGTATTATGGTACTTTTACTCCTTGAGCTGATTATATTAAAAATAAAGATGAACAGATATAATCGTTCTTTTATGAAAGATACAAGTTTAAGTAATAATTCTGTTGAATGGTTTTTTACTTTTCATAAAAATCTATATTAAGCAACATTAAGATAGAAATTAACACCAGGTTGTTATAATTTGAATATTGTTTATTGTAGTTATAGACTTGAAATTGAAATGGAAAGAGAGAAGCGTGAACGGGATCTTCATGATAAAATAAAAGCTGAATATGAAATGAAGGCTCGTCTTCCACCTGGAAGTTATGATCCACATTGGATGGAGCTTCAACGCAGGTATGGTGGTCTTCAAGGAGGACCGGCTGTTGGTCTTGCTCAAGCTCATGCTGGTATGAATCATGGGCCTTTTGGTCTGTATACACCCGCAGAGAGAGAACGACTGGGCATTCCTCAAAATGTACCTGTTTCTGAAGCTGCAGCCATAGAACGCATTAATGCGGAACGAGCTCATTCTGAACGGCTCATGCTAGGAGCTGATCCTTTATTGCGTTTACAAATGGCTGGTTTGGCACCTGAACTTCATACTCATGCTCATACCCATGCTCATGCTCATACTCATTTACACCTACATCCCCATGATGCCGTTTCAGCGGCTGCTGCGGCAGCTGCAGCAATGGGTGTGCCTCCTCACCCAGGAATGGAACCGGGTGTTCATCCATCTTCAGGATCACATCCACTTTTACCACCATCAGGCTATCCAGCTGGGGCACAGAGACCTGGTTTAATTCCCCGTGCAGAGCTTCTTCATCCTGCTGCCTCAGCAGGAATGTTACGACCCCCATATGATGAACAGTTTGCTCATCAGGTAATTAAATCCAGCTATACATGATTAAGGTTTCGAAGACTTTTTATTCAGCTGTTAAAAGTTTGCTAAAATTATTTAAAAGTTAGCCATTGCATGTAAATATTATTAGAAATTGATCGAATTACATGTCAGTCTGGTATTAATTCAGGGTTCCCACGGTCCTTGAGAGTCCTTGAAAGTCCTTGAATTTTTTTTTGCTAAATTTAGGTCCTTGAAAAACGTCTTAGGTCCTTGAAAAACTTGATAGGTCCTTGAATTTGTCCAATACTGCTGGCGGCCCTTTTTATAAAACACCCGCGGATCTTTCTCGTTCTTTCTGTTTTGTTCCCGAACTCTCTCACCTGGTTTTTAACGCCACCGTTTCTAACCGGGCCTAGCGTCTTGGTGTCTGCCAAGCACGCGGAGCACAGCAGACAATCAATGCGTTCGGGGCGAGACTCCACTTCATCTTCTGTCACATATGCTTAGATCTTCTTTTTTCTTAACGAAACTGGGATACTCTCGAATTTCGTAACAATATGTACCTTGTAGTTTTCAATAAATTTGCCGTTTTACCATCCGCACTTGTCCTTACGTTTGCGTCATTTCAAAACTTTATTGTAAATCGTATTCGCAAAGGCACGGCTTCGTATTTGTGTTATGTAGTTTAGACTAGTTATGCCTGGGAAGTGCTATTTTAATTTTAATTGTTTTTTCC